CACATACACACACACACATACACACACACACACACACACACACACACACACCTACTGTTAGTCCAACAACGCCCTTTGCTGGCAGCATATTTATTCCAACACACACTCCCTAACCCTAACCCTCCTGTTTATTTGTAGATATCTCCTAAAGCCTACAAATAAAGTGTGAAATGTAGGCCTGTTACATATATTATTGAGCGATATATATTATGCACACTGTTCTGCTTTCTGCCCTGACCTCAGCATCAGTAAGTCTGATGCACATTTGATCATCTCAAATAACTTATAATCACAACGGGAACAGTTTGCAGAGCTGTGCTTTGTTGACATATGTCCAGCCATGCGTCACGCCTCTTTTAAACATCACTGTTGGCTGAAATAGTCTCCAGAGAATACTTCAGTGTACCCTCGGTTATAGCTCCTCCAGAGAGACAACTCTCTCCTCTCTCCTCTCTCCTCTCCATCAGTGTATCCTTGGTTACGGCTCCTCCAGACAGCCTCCTCGATAATCGATCCTCAACGAGCCTTTAGAGCAGGGGTGCCCACACTTTTTCAGCTTGGGAGCTACTTTTAAAATGACCAAGCCCAAAAGATCTACCTACAGGGCCGCCCCTGCCCAATCTGTGTCGCGAGCGGGAGGGGGGGGTGCTAGTTGAGTAAACGGCGGATAAACTGTGGCGCGCTTACACTAATTGCGCCGCGTAAGCGCATAATAGTGCACCGCATAATAGTGCGCCGCATTTGCGCTTCAGATGAGGAGGTGAGGCCCCCTCATAACTGCATGAACCTGTATGGCACAATACAACTCAGACTGGCTTACCTGTACGTCAATCAAGTGGCAAATGCCATGCGATCTACCCACACTACCTTTGCGAAAGGTAGTGTGGGTAGATCGCATGGCATTTGCCACTTGATTGACGTACAGGTAAGCCAGTCTGAGTTGTATTGTGCCATACAGGTTCATGCAGTTNAACATGAAGTAACATTAAGTAACCCAAAATGTTAAACAGTAAGAGTAGTAGTCATATTTCGTGAACCCTTTGAAGAGTACTGCCACCGGGGTGATCATTCTATAATGCACAATTTAAGCCCGGGGGAGAAATGCTAACGCTAGCATCGGTGTTCGCCGATCTTTTCTACTTCATGCTATCTGCAGAAATGGTTGACATTAAACATTAAAAAGACCAGACAGTTCAGAGAGAATCAAAGGAAGGCAGGCAGGCAGCTTTGCATGACATTCTTCTGGACGTGTTTAATTGTGGTGATAGTGAGGGTAGTCAATTGTTTTGTTGACAAGACAGTAGTGACGGCCATCTTGGTGACGTGTGTTGTTCTGCGAGACCAGAGATGTAGTTCATTGAGCGTTTCACACAAACAAATGTGTTACTTCACAGTTTTACGACACATTATTATTTTTTTGACTTGCAAAATTATTTTTTAAATTGACAAACATCATATGTGTAATTCGTGGCACAATTCAAACGGGATCAAAAGATAATCTTTCTCTCTCCATTGACTTCAATACATAATTTTTTCGAAATAAGGTCCCATGGAGCTCCCCCGGAAGGGGAGGGACTTCGCCACTCTATAAGATGAATCTAGGAAATAATTGTCAGATCATAAGATTTAAAAAACAGTAGTTAGTTGCAGCGCTATTGTTCTAGTTGTGCGGTTTTACATAAACTCCATATTCCTTGTATTTAAGCATTGCATTTCGGGGTAGGGTATATAATAGTCAGATGTAAGCTAATTTACTTGTTTCTTTTCTTACTTCCTTTTTTGTTGATTTTTTTTTCTTTTTCATATTTTCAAGCAAAAGGTTTGGGTTAATGTCATTGTTATTCCAGTTGATTAATTGTGACTCGTATATTTATCTTCCCAGGTGTAATGTCACAAAGTAGCAACCTTTTTTCCAAATATTATCATCATCTCTTTATCATACCCCCAAAGATACTGGTCCTCACAAACGCAGAACATCACTTTTGGCAGTGCTGTGTGGTGTCAACATGTATATGAACACACTGAGTGTTTGGAGGTGACTCATTCTCCAGAGGCTAACATTGTTGCATTCCACATTCCACCGACAGTTCCAATGAGCCGCCGATTGTTCCCCTCCGAGGCCGTTGAAAGCCTGCTCCGATGCGTTTGTCCTCAACAATGGAATTTGGAGAGAGTTACCCAAGGAATAATGTCGTTTTGTTACAATTGTTGCCTTATGTGGCATTTGTTGGTGGTGAATTTAGGAAGAGAAGGAATGGTATTTGTCTGCCTGTTACCATCACATCCCCCCGGTTCAGTTGACATTAGGAAGTAGATGAGATGGGGGAGGGATGGGAGGTCATCTTGGTAAATGGTTATCTTAATTGGGAACACATTTTGCCTGACTCAGTGACTCTCAATCAGATGAACGAAGGCTTTCTTTTAAGTGACGCGACGCCAGAAGAATGTCCCTGACTATCGCAAAATGATGGAGAGGGGCTGAGGGCAGCCCAGTGCTACGGTCACAAGACAACTTTTAGACAGCGCTTAGCTCTCCAATCCCCAAGAGACGGCACTTGTTTCCTGAATTAGTAAGAAGGAGTTGCTCTGCGAGAAGCCAGAATGTGTTTTTGTTCCAGGAGCGAAGTCGAGAGGGGCTCTGGTAATTCTCTGCAGCTCTGCTCAGGCCAGAAATGGGCCGAGTCGCTCTCAGGTGCTGTAGCTCTGTCGCTCAGCCACCAGTCAGGTCCCTCTTTCACATGTCATCCATTCATAAAGAGACAAGCCCCAAATAAAGTTTACTCTCTGAATCATATCCCTCATCATATCATGTGTCAAGTAGGAAAGCACTAATGTTCCAGGTTCTGCTTTTGTTGTTATTGTTAAGAGAGCATTGCTAGTAGGTGTGTGAATCACGGTGTCCTTGTTTGATTTGATTGCGATTCTTGACTATTACTATTTGGTTGAAAACTGCTTCCTGATTCAAAACTTTTCCCAATTCAAAATGAATTCTGGATTCATTACAATAGGGGTGCTAATTTCACGATCTGCTTCAGTCAGCTGTGCACTAATAATCGCAGTGTGACACATTATAAGTGTACTAAAACGGGTTTTGACAAAGTTATATCAACTGATGGCAATGATGCAAATCTAAGACAAAAGGTCAAATTTATTCATTAATAAAAGTTTTTAGTATTTATCAATTCCAAGTGGCTTTAAGATTGACAAGTTGCATTACATGCTAAACTGCGCTAGACCGCGCTAGACATGCCTGTGAGAGCAATTTTAGGGTCAAGTATCTTGCTCTAGAAAAACTTCGAAATGACTGCAAAGATAGATTGTGCTTAAAATATAAGACTGTAATGGTGATCAAGGGCCTGTGTCCACATGACATATGATTCCATCAGTAGCAACCTCTAAGCTCTAGCATTTTGGAATTTGTGAATCTTATTATAATCTTAGAAGATGAGAACCCCCCCTTGAATCGATTCCTCCCCCACCCTGAACTGTAAGCATGTTTCTGGTTGTGATCAGAGCCAGATGGGTTAATCTGAGGGAGGGTTCCCCTTGTCAGCGCTCCAGCAGTGACATCAGCCTCGCTGCTATTCAGTAGCTCGGTGTCTTGTCCTGCAGCCAAGCGTGGGCCGAACCAAGCTGAGGAAGAGGGGGAGGAGTAGGGGCCGGGGTCCTTGAATTCTTGGCTCGATCATGTGACCTTGACCCAACCGCACCCCCCACGCAGAGAGGAAAGCCCTGAACGAAGACTGCATGACACGCAGAACTCTCACACGTGTGTTTCTCTGTGTCTTTTGCACAAGCAGCTCCCTCACAACACTGCCTTGGTGTACAGACTCTTATTATGCCATTTTATGGAAGATCTGTTTCCCCCAGGCCCTGTGAAATCCCCACCTTGCTCCACAGGCTGCTCTACACAGTTGTGGTTTGGATGGGACTCTACTCTCTCTCTCTCTGTGCTGGTAATTGTTATGTGTTCGGCAGCACCTTCCGGTATGAAGGATTTCCCTCACTGCAGTTACTTGAGCTAATCAGGCTCACCTTGATGAACTCTCCATGGAGTTTTTGTCATGTGACCATCACGTAACTTTAAAAATCTTAGCTCCTTCCAGTTTTATACGCACTGGGCTATTATTTTAGCAGACATTGTTTGTTTTTCAGATGTAGCAACTCTTTGTACACTTGGCCCTTTCCATAGAAGTACTTTATGGGTGCGTTTCACTTCGGTTAAATGGATTCCTTGCGTCCCTCACTTGCGTCGTTTCCCTGCGTTTAGTCCCTCCCACCAGGGAAGCATGGAGAGACGCAAAGAAACCACGAGAAGCAGGGAAATTAGTTTTAAGAGCAATGGGACGTCCTTTCCTCCGGAGCGTCGAGTGAAGCGACGTCCGTTTGTGATTACGCCGCACAGCTGATCGTCTGACAGCAGCCAGATCAGTGCATGCGCTGCATCGTCCAATCAGTGAGCGATACACAGTAAGGGGGCGGGGCGAGTGTATGAGGATTTCATCGGAGGATGGTCTGGTAGTTCCTCGATTATCGCTCCTCGATCCTCGGTCCCCCGGCACAAATAAGGCCACTCGGACGCTACTCAAGATGGCACAGACAAATCAACTTCCGGTGATACAGAGACTGAGGAGCGAGGAAATAAAAAATAAGAGAAGTGAAACGCACCCTATGACACTGTGAAACTGAACTTGCAAGTCAAGTCAGGAGAAGTCAGGCCGGTTTTTTTGCCCCCCTCACCTGAGTGTGAGAATGTGTTGCTCTGCGCTGCAGGGATCCGCCTGGGGAGGGGATTTCTCTGCACATTTTCGAGTCCAGACACGACCAAAAAAACACTAAACAGTGAGCTCATCGGCCAGAAGTGTGGTCCGGCACCCTGGATAGATAGAGGACACTTTGTGTATCTGCATGCTGTTTGAGTGAAGAAACTCAAAAGCTTGAATAGATATTGACCCTGTATCAGTGTGTTGTCTCAGCTATTTTTAGGGTTATGTAAAAAAAGTGTTTACCCCAAATATGCAGTTATGTCACTGAAGTATTGGTAGTTGTCTGCAAGTTCACACTTGCTTTTCTATTATCTTAGTTTTTTACAGTTGCTCAAGAAAAGAGAATGCCGCAGGGTTTCCCTCTGCGGTTAAAGTTAAAACAGACTGCAGGGGAGAGCCAATAAGATGACAGAAAATTAATTTTGAATCGGCGGAGATTGCCTTAGTGTTTTATATCAAAGCCAACTGAATGTTAATGTGCTCTGTCTTCACCTTGGATTTGTTGTAATCATGTTCTTTTAAAAAAACACGTCGGGTCCAATTTGACTCTTAACGCCATTTATTGATCCAAAGCTCTGCTTTATGTTGGACTCCTGATGCAAAGCTTAGCCTGTTAAGTAGGGATGCACAATATTGGTTTTTTGAAACCGATACCGCTACCGATAACTTCCTGCTTCTCAAGACCGATACCGATAACCGATAATAATATATTATATATATATATATTAAATGTACCTGTAGTTTTTGCACACCTGGTGGTAAAAAAAAGACTAGTAGTGAGCAGATGACATGAGCACTACTATACTATGAACAAAACAAAGCCAAGAACAGTTTTGACTCTTCAAAGTGACCATATTTATTTTCCCAAATATAATTGAGTCAATCAGTCAATGTCAATGACAAGGTGTTTCCCTGGACAATGAGTGAACAATGAGTGGTCCATATTCCGTCTATCCATCGATAGGTAAACAGCACCGGTGCCTTTGCAGCTGGCTTTGGATTCGCCGCTAGTTTAGCAGCGCAGGCGTCTTCGTACACTTTTAACACACCATCTCAGCGATGGCGAGGTTTCAGGTGACTAATCAGGTTGGAAGTATTATAGCTCGTTGCCTTTTTCCCTCCTCGTGGAACTTCTGCATTGCATTTGTTAATACAAATAGCAAGTGAACTATCTAACTCTGAAACTTTGAAATAGTCCCATACTACCGACAACATGTTTGTTTACTGTCCTGGCTTCACGGCCGCACACCATTTACGTCACAGCCAGGCATGAGTTAGGGAGCGCTGGATTTGTGAAAAACTCCCCTCTTCCTAAACCACTAATACCACAGTACTGGCAAAACGGGAGGAGCCGAGTGAAAAACAAGCTCCCCTCATCCCAATCCACCCACACCGCAGTATTTTTTCTTTTTTTTTACCCAAAAAATATATTTTATATTATCGGGGCTATTAATACTTTTATCGGGTTTATCGGGATGACGTCATAATTCCTAATATCGGGCCGATAATTATCGTGCACCACTACTGTTAAGTGTCAAGAGTGAGTCAATTGGAGTCTAGTGTTAACACACCTCATCAAATGAGAAACAGCAGACCTTTCAGGATCAATTATTTGACTCCTAAAGTTTCTATTTGACGTGTTTTTGTAAACAAAGTCGATGCTGCAGGGCTGTTTGGTTAACTTCAAAATGTCTGGCAGCCACAAATAGCACATGAATACTGAGTAACTATTTACAGTCTGTGTTTATTTGTGACAAACTCCAGTAGCACATACAGAGATGGTTGTTTTCAAAAGGCCATAAGGTTATAACTTTTGTTTTTTCTGTGTTTACCCAGATTGCCCTCTGACCCCAGATACCCCTAACAGCGAGGCGAGGATGTGCAGCAGCAGCCGCCTGGCCGCCCTGAAGAGACAGAATGACATTGAGCTCAAGGTCAAACAGGGAGCTGAGAACATGATCCATATGTACACCAACGGACCCTCTAAGGTAAGAGTCATGCGGAGTGGGGGGAGGCTTCACCTGATATTCAGGTTCCAGCTGGTTCATGTCAGGCTGCCAAAAGCACACGCATCAGTTGAACTGTATGTTTTACATCATTTTCTGCCACTCTTAATTACACGACAACAAAAGACAGAATTTGGTGGTTTTGCGAAGTAGCTTGGAATCGTAGGATGTTGTGATTTCAGGTATTTTCCCAAGCTTAGACTCATCAGAGCTTCGTTTGAGGTTTCCAGCTCGGTAGAAGTCTTTGCTCAGATTATTTCCTTTGACCTAAAACCACTAAGGAGTCAAAGCCATCAGGATATAGTGTATAGTTACAAAATGACCAAGATAAAAAAAAATGATGGTAAAAATATATGTGAAGTAAAAAAAAAACATAGTTAACGAATAGGTACAGATTATTAATCAACTGTGTGTGGGAGAGAAACTACAAAAGGTCCATGAAATATAATATTCACAATTTTGGAGATGAATCTGTTACGCCCTGTTGTGCAAAGGCCTTAAATGCTTGTGTTTCTTGTCCTTTTCGACATCATTGAAGCGACTATGATCCCGGATCTCAGCTTTTACTTACAATGTTATCCCAACTGAAACTAAGAAAATAAGACTAAAGTGATAATATACTATAATAATATTCTAAATGAGCTCTTGGCAGTTCAAGAGGAGAAGCCAAACCCACCATAACACTTGATAGCACCATAAGCCTTGATTTTAGTCACCGTCATCAGGCTGCAGAGGGTTTTCACATTCATAATCACCAATTTTGAATATTTATTTCAGTCTTTTGTAAATGTGCACCTTGGTCATTATCACATAAAAAAACTGTAGTCTGCAGGTGGCAGAACGATGCATGTGGGGTTTGCTTTTACAGCTTCTCTGTAGGGGAGCAGGGAACGTGAGAAGGCGCTGACACACACTGTGTGTCATATGCACCGCTGTTTGTTCACAAAGCTCTCTGTGGCTACTCTAATGCCCAGTGAGGAAATATACCCTTTAGTTGGGAAGTGTGTGTGTTACGAGAACTGATAACAACAGCTGGAGCACTGAGAGCCGCTCCTCTTGGCTCCTGGTCCAGCAGTAGTAATTGAAGCCACTCTGTAGTAGACTCTTTAGCATAGTGTCAGGTTTCAGCAGGGAGTCTCGACTCTGCCAGTGATGTAATCCTGCTCGGCATCGTTTGTTTCTGTGACTGTCGGGGGTTATTTAATGGAACATGAATTGACAAGATTTCTTTGCTTGAGAATCCTTAAAATGAATACTTTGACAGTTTAGAAGATAGGCTTATTTTCTTTCTTTGAGTGAGATGAAAAGGTTGATACCATTCGTACAGGTTATGTGAAGCTAAAACTAGCAGCTGTTTGGCTTAGCGTAGCATAAAGATAGAAACAGACAGGGTAAACCATGTTTTTGAAATGTGTTGAAAGATGGTCACCATTAATACAAATAACACCAGAACTCCAGTCACATCTTTATTTCCTTTTCTGATATTTATTTTATTTACTTAACTTTATATTGTCATTGTTGTTGTTGTTTTTTATGATGTATTTTTTATTATATATATATTTTTTAATACACTGTTTATTTGGTGAATATGTACAGTTGATGTATAATCAATGAATAGATGTTAAAAGATTTGTAGCACTTCACTGAGTGAACGTATCCAAGATAAAACAAGCTAAATTATCTTAGTATCTCCTACTGTCATTTGTATTATGTCTTTAAAAGACTAAAATAATTTTTTTTTAAACAGAGAAACAACTTGCATGGCTCCGTCCAAATGTAACAATCTGCGGCTGCGGCATGCTCTCAAGAATGGCGTAAAGGAAATTCGTGCTAATATTTGACGCCATCAAAATAATGAGAACACTTTTGCAAAGATTTCTTGATAAGATCAATACAACATTTAGAGAACTATGGGACGTCTAACTGAATGTCATTTATTTAGAATGTAACCAGACATGACTCGTTGAACTTTACTCAATAACACAAAGTTCATTGACCTACTGTTCAAGTGAGTACAGTGTGGAAAAGAGAGAGCCCTATTGAGTTACTTCGTACAATAAACAGGTCTGTCAAATGCTACATGATCCCCTCTGTCTGACCGGTGGGGGGGGGGGTCTCTTTCAAAACACTGTGACCTCTCCCGGTCACGCAGACAGTCTGACAGTTGGAAATAGTCCTGTTGTGATGTCAGAGAGGAAATGCCTGCTGGACAGAAGTGTTTCCTGCGAGCGGCGCCATCAACAAAAACCAGGAACTCTGGGTGGAGTTTGCTTACTCCACTCTGTGTGCGCATGTGTTTGTGTGAGCATGTGTGTATTGGCACATGTGAGAGGGTCAGCAATTATGATACACAATGAGATCCCGCTTTCTTTTTTGATGAATAAGATTTTCCATGTGGTCACTCATTATTTGGCTCCAATTAAGGGCATGAAACAGCCTCCTGGGCTGTTTGTGCTCATAGCAAAACACCAGTGATGATGGATGATGTAGAAGTTGGTTACTACTTTTGTTGGTTACATTGTCCCAGTAAAACGATTTTTATTGTCATGTTAAGATCAAATTATCTCACTGATTTGATAATATGATAGCATAATAATACACCCATTCAAAGGGCAATCCCCGTCTAACTTCTAACCTAAATCAGCCATTGGAATCAGGATGGGAGTTATATTTTTAGTAAAACACAACCGAATAAATAAAATTGACTTTTTGGCTCCCTTAAAAAAAAAAAGACAGTACATTGCGAATCCAGTCGGGCGTCGAATAATCGATTATTATTCGCCAGGGCTGTCCGATTTTCGATTTTGATCATGGTCAGTTTCTGGCATCCCTAGTTAAGGTGAGGTTTGGAAATGTAAAAGTGAACAGGGTCATTTCTAAATATCTTCCAAAGAAGATGATAACTGAAAATGAACACGGTCATGTTCATATTTAAATCATAGATTATAACAAAAAAAGTGTGCAAGTCATATCCATATATCGCACAAGAATCCAATAATCTAAAAATGATAGAGGTCAACTCACCATAAGACTAAGCTGATTATGTACAAAATTAAGGGGGCCCGGTTAGTAAAACGTACGATAAGCAGTGTAAGAAAAATTGGCAATTTACTTGTCCGAATACATGTTGGTTATCATTTGGATTTTAACGATTACGGTTATGCTTTTCGATTCCGGTTATCTTCGGTTCTCGATTCTGGTTCTTTTACCTCATTCACACCAACGGTGTTTCAGGGCCGGTTCGGAGCTGGAGCTTGAAAAGCACCGGGTTTTCCTGTTCGCAGCGGAGCAGCCCCTTAGCTCCGGAATCCGGTTCGTTTCAAGCACCAAAAAATGGTCCGGCTAGAGCAAAAGCACCGCATACGTCACGCTTACGTCGAGGCGGGGGCAGGGGGAATCAAAATCGTCATTGAAGTTGATGATTACGATTGTAAAGCAGTTTTGAATGTAACATGTAACGACTGTAAAGTTGGTAGTAAAGTTGTCCCATTTCTTTACACTGCAACCTGCCTGTGAGACAGAGTCCAACCACACATGTCCAACACATAATAATAATAATAATAATAATAATAATAATAATTAAAACTGCGGTCGCACTTGTGCGCGCAGTGATGAGTTGGCCCTCGCGTCCGTGCGCCTGTCGGGGAGGGCAGCCGGTCGTCCCGGCGTCAAGCAGACGCGCGCGAGTCCTCGGAAATGAGCCGTTTCTCATTTCTATAATTTTCGCGTCCCGGACTCCCAGGTCCTCCGGCAGCGACCCGGAAACGGATGTCGGCGCGCTGTCTCGAAGGAAAACAAATTTCTGTAAAGGGTCGTCCAGGATCGATCTTCGAGGAGTTTGTCTGGAGGTGCCGTAACCGAGGATACACTGAAGAGAGAGGAGTCTCTATGGAGGAGCTATAACCGAGGGTACACTGATGTATTCTCCGGAGTCGATTTCAGCCAACAGTGATGTTTAAAAGAGGCGTGACGCATGGCTGGATGTCAACAAAGCACAGCTCTGCAAACTGTTCCCGTTGTGATTATAAGTTATTGAAGATGATCAAATGTGCATCAGACTTTCTGCCCTTTACCGTTTGTTTACTCACTAATCACATCTCCCCTGGATGTTAGGTTATGCTTTCATTGTGAGGCGATGTTTACAGTGAGAACAGCTGCTGAGGTCAGTGCAGAAAGCAGAACAGTGTGTATAATATATATCGCTCAATAATATATGTAACAGGCCTACATTTCACACTTTATTTGTATGCTTTAGGAGATATCTACAAATAAACAGTAGATATTTTTCATGAAACCATATAGTGCTTCACATAATAAAATATACAAGGGCTGTAGCCTGATATTTAGTTATGCTTTAGGAGCTGTTTGTGTTTGTTGTACAATGTATAGGTGTGGTTGTGTGTGTGAGCTGAATGTGTTTGTGTGTGTGTGTGTGTGTGTGTGTGTGTGTGTGTGTGTGTGTGTGTGTGTGTGTGTGTGTGTGTGTGTGTGTGAG